TATCCCTGGCGCATACAGAATCAAATCATAATAGCCCAAGAGCCCACTGTAAATTTTTACCGCCATCTGATAATGAAATAAAATATATCCCAAAAGCTTGTAAAAACCTTGTAATTTACCGAATAGCACCTGTGATAATCCCAATCCTGAGCAGTGTTTAAAAAAAAAATAATTTATATTAAAAAAATCACATAAGGCATGACAGCGCTAATTTTGTTTGCCTTTGAAGTTTTCCAGATAATAACATATTCAAATATATCTTGATATATATCGTTAACGGGACACATTTTCTTCCTCTTAACATCGCACAAGAATATCTACATACGATTAGTAGGTAAAAATCATTAAAAATGTAAATCAATTTTTGCTGATTTAAGAATTTATTTGTATGCCTATTGTTGTGATTTATTTTTACAGGTTGTCATAGAAACGACAAAAAACTACTATGATTATGGTTTAAATGAATTGTCTAACAAGAGTTTATAAATATTATGGACTATCTGCCAAAGTTAGGTAAAAATATTATCAGGTTTAAAAGCTAGGTTCACAATGAATTAGGAATGTAATTTTCAGAGAAAACAGAATTATCGCTGTCATGTCTTATGTAATTTTTTGAATATAAAATATTTTTTTTTAACCACTTTGCTCTGGATTACCTCAGATAAATAAATAAATAATAGATACAGCCCCATTATCCATTATTAATAGTTATTAAACCAAATGAGTACAATAAAAAATTGCTTAACGTTGTTCTATTTCTAACTGACAAGAATTCATCGAAATTAAGTTTTATTATTCAAAATATTGTGTATTAGAAAACCTTGGCAATATTTTAAAACGGTGTAATTATGAACTTATCATTTATTACATAAGTATCGCTTTATTCTAAACTGTTATTATAACATTTGTCTTAGTTTTGTTTTCCAGATCTAACCCAATAAAATGAATTACATACCTATTATAAAAATTGTTTTTTTAACCCTACTTTCCCAATTATTAAAAACCATAAATATTTTGTGCACAAAATTTAATTAACTTAAAAGGGACTAACAATAAACAGATACTTTATTCTATTTTTTATTACATATATAAGCGGTACTCATAACAAATCAATAAAAATAATTTACAAAAGAATCGATATTATTAAAAAATATTAGTACAAAAATTTAGAATTTATAAAACCTATCATTGCAACGTTTATTCAAATTATTTGTGTATAAAAATAATGTATGTTTTTAATTTAAAAAATATATGTATTGGTCGACTGAAAAATTTATTTTTGACGGTTTTCTATAAACATCTCATATTAGAAACATTGATCCATTGAAATATCTCAAAACTAATAAAATAATATAAATCAAAAGCATTTATATTGACATTTATTTGATACGCTACTGGATAATAAAACTAACAAACCCCGCTCTTCCCCTCCTAACAACTGGCTTGTATATGTTGCTTTCAAACAAACGCAATGTAAATTTTTGACATTCAGTTATCTATTATTATTTATTTATCTGAGTGGATTACAGATTGGCACAGGTGCAATTTGGTAAAGTACAATGTTGTTACATGTCTTTGGAGCATATTTCATTTTGTTATCAGATGGCGGTGGTAATTTGCAGTGGGCTTTCTTACTATTACCAATTAAGCATTTCAACGACATGTCAAACAATAGCTGTCAGTGAGAAGGTCTGGTATATCTAACGGGGTAGAGACATAGTCTTGCATCCTGAACGTTTTTTTTTTATTCGAAATAATAGTCACAAAGCCTGCCAATTTATGAAAAATGTATCTTATTTTTATTGTTTTTGACATAAAATATTTAAATGTAATCCATTATTCATGAGTTTACGTATTGTAAACCGAATACGTCATATGTCGCAACCCTTGGATATATCAAATCTTTCCACTGGCAGTTTATTTGTTTGGAATGCCTAATAAAATATATGACAACCGCCTATATTCAAACAGCAGTCTTCTGTGCATCCTGAATTTGTATCCCTGGAGTGGATGTTATTTTGGAACATCCAACTGATTCTTTTAAGACATAAACTGTGACATTACCTTTATCGATAAGTTTATAGGTGAAATTATTTGTCAAGTAGACAATAGCAACTCTGTTGATGTTTTTAATCTTAACCCAATCCTAAAGGAAATTAACTAGATTCGAGAGCCACAAATGAGGACATCGTAAGTCGCAAAATCAATATTTTTCATACAATTGCAACTAAAATAATATAATATATAAATTTCAATTCATTTAATCAATTATTTCTGTGGGATTTTCTATCTGAATTAATTACTAATTTTATTATAGACAAAAACATTAAAATGTGTAATTTTATTATTACAGTGAAGTAGCAAAATCGTTTTCAAACCTCTGAGCGCGCCGGATTTCTCGGAGTTTATTAAGTTTGGGAGACCATAAAATCAGTTCCTTTATCTGGAACGAGCAGTGACCTGAGTCCTTATCAAATTAGTTTTCTTTTCACGATAGGGGAAATAGAAAAGGGACACTTTACGAATCAGAGCTCAACATCGATTTTGTGACTTATCATCGTCAGCATATGTCTTTGATTAAGAGTCTGATCTCGCGTTCATTTTGAGGGAAGCCGAAATGAAAAAGAGCGACCCAATTGAATTTGTTAGTCAATTTTGACAGAGTGAAATGCAGTTTCCACTAAAATAAGATTACTATAGAGATAATTTCAAGACAAAAAAACTATGAAAATAATTTGTATAGAGCGAAGTGTTTATGATTGGCACAAATTTTAGCATTCAATTCTTAAATTTAAAAATGGGCGAATTTCTCGTTTTTGCGATCATCGTTAAAAAATATATAAGAAATAAATATATAAAAAATATATGAAAAATATATGAAAAATTTATGAAAAATATATGAAAAATATTATGACGTAATTTGGTTAACTAAAATTAATCACTATGTCTGGTGTGGAAAATATAAAATAAAATTAATGTTTCGAAGAAAAGTCAATTTTGGAGGGGATTGAAAGAAATTAATGATTGATTGTCAGAGGGAGAATTGTCAACGGAAATTTTGTAAGATTGTAAGGAAGGATTTTGTATGGTCGATTGTTAATTTATGTAATAGATAATAGAAATATATTGTTAATGAGATGGAGAATTAAATAAAAAACAAAAAATAAGGTGAAAGGAAAATTTTATTTAAAATAAAAAGAGTAAACGAAAACTAGTAAGGCGAGATAGCAGTAATAAGGCAGGATGTAGAAGGTGGGAGCATAAATAGAATAGTAGGGAGGATAACGTACAGACAAAACGTGCAGACAAGGCTGAGAAGAAGAAGAAGGAGATAAGAAGAAAATATTTTAAATTAATATTTTTCTACAATTTTTAGAATCTAAATTACAATACAGTGTGATCAGATCAAACATAGAGGGAATAGGTAAATTAAGATTTGGAATTGAAAATTTTATAGGAATTTCAAAGGTGAGTTTATTTTTTTATTTTTTTCCCTTTGATTGTCTAAATTATTGATAGTGAGAAATATAAGTTGGTGAAATCAACCCAAAATTCAAATTTAATTAAATTAAATTTTCATTATAAAATAAAAAATAATATAATTTCTGAGATACATCAAAATTATAATATTCATAACAATTGGCGCATCAACGTAGGGCGAGCAAAATATAGTGATTTTTGATACTTTTTTTATAATAATTTGCTATATAAAACTATTTTAATAAACATATAATACAGGGTGTGTTATTAGTAGGAAAACATGGCAAGTAGGACAAGTAGGATGACTTTAAGAGATGGCAAGGAGATTGGTGAAGCAGGTAGTGATGAGGAGACGTTAGGTGGAAATAATCAGATAATACAAGTAGATAGGACTTTTGTATCAGGGGATTGTGCAATTCAGTACATGAAACAGGGGAGATCAAATCAGGAACAGGATGTCGATAGGGATGAGAGTTTGGAAGATTTGAGAGAGGAGCTGAATCGTACAGTAAGGAGTAATGGAAAGGAATTGGAAAGTAAAGGGCAGGGTGAGAGAAAAGGAGAAGGTATTAGTAGTCAGGGACTGCAGGTGAAACCACAGGTGGGAATGTTTGAGATTATGCAGAAGCTGATTTTTATGAATGAAAATATTTCTCATATGAATAATATGAGGGAAAATTTGGAAAAGAAAATAGATGAAGTAAAAATAGAAAGTTTAACAAAAATGAAGAAAAAAATAGGCAAGAGAATGAAGAGTTTAGAATACAGATAACACAAGTAAGAGAAGAGGTTAAGAAGCAAAATAAAAAGTTACAGGCAGCAATAGAAAAAAAGGGGTTATTATTAGGTTGGAGATAGGAAAATATGTGAAAGAAAAAGTTAGTAAGTTAAAAAGAAATAATAAGGAAAATATGCTAGGGGAGATTCAAATAGAGGTGACTAAACAGACTGATATGTTGAATAGGGAAATTGGACACATGAAGTTACAGGGATAGGTATATAATTTAAAAGAAAATGTTAACACGGAGATAAAAAAAATTGAACGTGACAGTAAAGGAACAAACAGTAAGTTGTATTAAAATATCTGAGATATGAAAAATACATTTTAGGAGGTAAATAGAGGAGATGAATAGGAAAATGCAAAACACAACAGGAAATTTTAAGAATAGAGGAAACTTTAAGACAAAATTCAAGAGAAGGTTTAACTGTAGTACCTAACTACATTGATGGGGGAATTTAGTTTGATGGAAATATAAACAACATCCATCCTAAAGTTTTTGTAACAATAGTTCAAGACAAGGTCAAAAATGTCAGGGATTTAGGGGAAAAAAATTGATTATTACAAATATGTTAACTGGTCTTTCTCTGTTGTGATATTGCAATGAAGAGAATAAAATAAAAATATGCAGGAATTTGAGGTTAGATTTTTAAATTATTTTTGGAGGGAGATTCAGCAAGCTAGTTTTCGGGAAAGATTGTATTTTGGAAAGTTTAATCATAATAGAAGTAAGAATTTCAATATGTATGCGATGCAACTATATAATACAGCTCAGTATCTCGAACGTAATATGCGGGAGAAGGAGCTAGTATTATATATAGCAAGGCAGTTCAATCAGGAAATGGCAAAGACTATTGCGGTACATAATATTAAAAAAATGGAAAGTTTATCTAGTTATTTACAGCGATTGGAGAGGAGTGTTGCTAACAATGGGAGTTATCGTAGTCAGTTTCATGGGAATAATTTTAGACATCAGAGTATAAATTTCGGAAATGGTAATACTGGAGGAGGTGATGGTAGATATAGTGGAAATCAAGGATATGCCAGTCATAATAGTGACAATAGACAAAATGGTCGAAGATTTGATTGGGAAAATAATAATTATTATGAGAATGAGAATAAGTGGCACCAGAATCGACGGGATCGAGAACAAGATAGAGATAGGGAAAATTGGAGACAAAATAGGGATTATAATAATAGCAATAAGGGTTATCGAAATGATGTAAGGGGAAGAAGAGAGGATGAAAATATAAGACAAGTCAATATGAAAAGGTCAAATGAAGTAGATAGGGGAATTATCCACGGACAGGAAAATGAAAATTTTGTGTAGATCACTTCCATGTTAGCCATCTCATGTAATTATATATTATAGTTCTAACACCTTTCGGCGATTTAGCAGCAACGTCGTGTCGAGTGTGCTCGATCGTTTTTGGAACTGTGTGGAGATGATCTGAACCCCGTGTTTGAAACAATAGTCACTGGAGATGAAACTATGGTTCTTTATTATGATTTTCTGTCAAAAAGGGATTCAATGGAGTGGCGCCGTAAGGGTGAAGCCCCCCCACGAAAATTTAGAGTCTGCCAATCAACGAAAAAGGTGATAGCTACGATCTTTTGGGATTGTGAAGGAATCCTTCTGATTTTAAAGAGACAAATACCACCGTTAATGGCACATATTCTGCTGCATTACTTCATAAGTTGCGGAAATGTATTCGGGAAAAACGTCGAGGAAAATTAACCAGAGGTGTGCGGTTGTTGCACGACAACGCGCCCGTTCATACTGCTGGCGTTACACAAGCTGCCATCCTAAATTGCGGGTTTTAAAATATAGATCACCCTCCTTATAGTCCAGATATGGCTCCCAGCGATTTCTATTTGTTTAGTTATTTGAAAAAGGACCTTCGCGGGCGACGTTTTCGGGACGATTTTGAGTTACAACAAGCTGTTTTGGCCCATTTTGAGGATAAACCGAAAGAATATTTTTTTAAATGGATTGCATTGTTAATTAAACGTTGTAAGAAGTGCATTGAGGTTAAGGGAGATTACATTGAAAAATAATAAAATCTTGTTGTTGTACTTTGCCTCCTTCATTGTCAGGCCGTGAATTATTGGCGCTTACCTCGTAAATGGTCGAGCAGTATGTCGTAATCAATATACCACAAATGTCTCTTCGACAATACTCAGCTCATAATGAGTTGGTAAGTAAAAGTATTTTTGAAGCAGCTTAGGAGGCCATGGAACAGGTAGGACTGGAAGAACTGCAATAAGCAAAAGATACTGGAGGGGTAAATGAACAAGGAAATGGTCTAATTGCAGTGATTGTTGACGGTGCATGGTCTAAGCGGTCATATAATGTGAATTATAATGCTTTATTTGGAGTTGCCAGTTTATATTTTAATATTATAACGTGAGATCTAAAAACAAAGTTTTTAAAGTAAGCCATGACCGATAGAATTGTGAAGAATCCGTCATGCGTGATTTTTTCGTGGTCTACTTTAGAAACATTTTTATATTTAACATAACATATAAGGGTTTATTTTTAAATGCACTTATTTTTTACAGGCTTACATTATTGGGATAAAAACTGGAAAAGTTTTGTACCTTTTTTCCAAAAGTAAGAATTGTCCTATCTGTACTCGAGCTCTAACTAAAAACATAAAACCTGCAACTCATTGCATTCACGCAAAAGTAAACAAATCGATTTTTAGCACAAACAGCGATTGATATTGCATTATGTAGACCTCGATCATCTCTATGAAATTCCATGCGCCTTTTTAACCAAAAGTACACATATCCTTGTATAATGGTATGGTGAAATCAGGAATTTCAATCAAAGAATAACAAATCCGTAAGGTATTAATTTTCGTCAATTTCAGCGGAATGTCTCTTAAAAAGTAACAAATCCTTGCAGAAAATACGAACACGGTGTCATAACCCATACAAAAGTGAACAAACCCAGAGGTATTTCAGAACTGCCTAATAAATATCATAACGGTTGATGCACGTTCTTTAAATGTGTTTTAGAGCTGCAAACTATTCAGCGATTGTGGGTAATAGCCTTAGGCAACGATAGCGACCCCGACGCCTGCAAACATATTTTACTATTGCGAAAAATATAACACGATTCGAAAAATCGTTTTTTAAAAAAAGATACTTTTTATTTAAACAGAGTTATAATTATGTCTTTATTAATTGAAAGCTTACATCAGACTAAAAATGTAAAAAATATTCATGTTAACACATGTATGCTGATAAAAGAAACTTGAGCTGCCGGCTGGTGGGATTCTTAGAATTTCTGGGCACTTCGGCAGTTTCTGTGATATAATTCCTCCCTTCCCAGAGAGATCCATACAGGGTGTGGGTCGTTATTCGTCTTCTTCGGTATTGATATTGAAAGTGGCTTGTTGGGTGGCAGGTATTATCAATTTTTGATTTCTGGACGTCGATTGCCTAATCTTGAAAAACATGATGATGAGGGCAACAATACCCAATGTCCACAGTGGCATATACCACAGATGGGTATTGCTTGAAGGGGGTTAAAGACTTTATTTATCTTAATTTCGGGTAGAAGTAAAGGCTGTCCATGAATAACGTCGAGATCTGACTTTGCACAGCTGATTTGGATCTTGGTTTCTCGAGGAAATACTGCAATATAGTGGGCAGAATTGATTGGTTCGATTACCTCAGAAGTGATTTGGATTGGAGTAAGTTCACATTCAGGAGAGTCTTAATTATTCAATTGTAATATTTGGTGGATACAGTCATCTGCATTAGCTTTGGCAATAGATTTCGTGTTTGTGCAAAAATATAATGAGTTCAGATTTTTGCATTCTTCGTCCTCGTACTCATAGTTATTTCCTTGTATTGCCAGAAAAGATTTGGAGGGGATAAGGATAGAGTTATTTTGGGTAGGTATTGAAAAATACATTTCAAAAACAAAATATTAAGTCCAGGACTAAACAAAATTTTGAGTGATAGGATTTTGAAGTTACGAGTGGGAATTAAATCGACTGTAAATTACTACAGAAAAAATACCAGTGATATTGTTAATAACGTGAAGCAATTAACTGTAGACAATAAAAACTCTTCATACCACACATTTGGAAATCGTTCAAACTGTGCACAATATTTTGTAAGAGAGAACAAAACGATAGAGATTTTGTGACCGAAATGGAAGAATGCGGACTAATGGATGACATTGTATCTGCTGGTAAAAGACTGGTTTAAAACAGCCACATTTTATTTCGTAAACGTGACTAATAACGCTGCAGAGACATATAATTTAATCTTAGCCAAATTTGTTGGAGGAAAGAGAATTAATTTTGCCGTAAAAGAAGGGTGAAAAAAGAGAACTATATTTGTACTCTTTATAAAAAGCCGTTAAAAATTGTTCCTGGGATTCACACAAAGATTGGTTACTTAAATCAGCAAACGTAGATATAGTAGAAAAGCCAGGGACTCACAATTAAAAAAACGCAAAAGTGGCGCACATAAAGATAGGGAATACGGACTTCAATGCGATGATGATGATGATGACGATGTTTTGAAACAAAAAACTGCCATTTTTGGATAGTTTACCTAAATCAATAGATAAAATTTGTAAAATTCAAGTATCTACTAGAGGTCAGGCCAGTAATGAACTGTAGAAAGAACATTGTAGTAATACGCTCAGATCCAAAAAAGACTATTAATAACATATTATTTTCATCTTTTTACGGATCAGTCGCTACAAAATGTGGACAAGACTATGAATCTATTGCGATAAAAAGATTTAAAAATAAATATGAAAAAACGGTACAAGAATGTGAATTTTTTTGTTTATAAAAAACATCCATACTTGGGAGCAAGTCCATACGGCGTTATTAATAATAATGAAATATTTGAAATTGACACCAGAAATTGGAATTCAAGAAAAAAATTAAATATCTCGTCAATACAGATGGCCAAATTAAATTAAAAAAAAGATAATTATTATTATCAGGTACAAGAACAATTGGCTATAACGAAAGCCAAATATAGTGCTCGCTTCGGCCGTACATATACTAAAATTAAAACGATACAGAGAAGATTAGCATGGCCCCTGCGCAAGGATAACACGTAAAATCGTGAAGCGTTCCACATTTTTTTCTTTCCTATTGTTTTATTTTACCCCCTTATCGTGACCTAGTGTATGTCTGTTTTTTTGTTATTCCTTGATGGCGAGAAGCGAGTGTCCCCGTTTAATCCTCTTGTTATTTGAATTGAAATATTTAATGATTTACCTCTTCCATTTTGTGACTAGCTGTATGACAAAAGAGCCTATGCCAAAAAAAAGCCAAATATTGTTTTTTTTATAGTTTGGACTCCACTGGGAATGTTCGTTCAAAAAATTGAGAAAATTGACAATTTTTGGTTGTGTGTTGAACCAAAGTTAGTTGTTTTTTATATAAAATATTTAATAAAAGAAATTGCAAGAAGAAATTGATGTAATTTTTTTTGTGATTGTATTTTGTTATGTGAAATAAAATGTTTTATTAAAAATAGCAGGTAATTAAAGTTTTTTTTTTTTTATTCAAGTATTTAATTTATTTTGACCTATTTTTACTTTCAGTGAACAAAGAAAAGATAAAACCAATACGTTATATTTTTTTATGAAATTAAAACAAAGCATATATATATATATATATTATGTACAATAAAATATACATGCGTACGATAAAATAGTTTTCAAAAAATGTTTCAGGTGAAGTTGAATAGCAAGAAAGATAGGCATCCCCTTAGACTGACTAAATAAAAATGTAATTATTATACGTACAATTGTCTTTACACAAATAAAGGGAAGGATACGTATAGAGATATTGTATGAAATGGATAAGGTACTTCTCAACTTCGACCAAACGGAAAGCGGTAGAACAGCCTTTTAAATCCAGGATATACGAATTGCTCTAGAAATTCAGTTAAAAAATTGTAAATTACTCTTTAACTAAGTGAGGTACAAAATTGATTGCGCTATAAAAAAAATCAAAATTTATAGTTCTTTTTGATTTTAAGATCGATAAAGCAAGATTCTTTATGTCAAAAAAATGCAACCCCAACTTTTTTTAAGGTCGTCCGTCGCTTAAAATTTTTTTCTCCTTAGAATATTGGGCCTTCAGAACTACAGCACTGGCAAAAATTTCAAAGAAAAAATCGCAACAGCAAGCTTCCCAGGCAGCACACATTAGTATAACTAACGTATTTTATACGTAATACTCGTTTAATTTTGGTATTGGTTGATTCCGTATACGTTTACA